ATCTTAAAACCCACATAGAGCAGTGCCCCCCCCCCCAAGGAGGGTCTGACCTTCGGACAAAATCTGGAAGGTTAGAATCGATAGGTTTAAATTAAACATCAGGGCTGCTTTTTAACTTTTGTATTGTGTCCTCTTTACCTGTCCCTCTTACGTGTTTTGTTTCTGTTTGGCTGTTCTACAGAATATTCTATATTAAAATAGGGGTGAATGTGGCATAGTGTGACGTGGTTCTCAGGGAAAAGAACACAGTTCAAACCCTGTAGACTGAGGCAGGCGTCCTTGGCACTTAGAGAACAGGTGGCTGTGGGGGCTGAGGGGTGACTGCGTACCCACGGAGAGCCAAGAACCTGAATTATGAAAAACAGAGACATGGGATGGGCTTAGGAGAGCCTTCCTTAGCCTGATGTAACCGTGCTGCCTTGACATGTCGGCCGAGTGTATGCTGAAAAGGCCTTTGTTCTTTAGCCATTAATCCCTTCAGCAGGCATTTTGTACTCATTTCTGTCGGCACCGGGGGACACAGATTTCCAGCACGAGGGTTTCAGAGTGTGTGTGTGTCTGTCTGTCTTCTGCTCTCTGGGGGTGTGGTGGAACCTGGTAGGAGCAGTTACATTGTTTTAAATTGCTATTCGGTGCGACAGTTGCCACCATTGGTACCAGGGGCACATTCTGAGTGATGGTTTAGGGAGAACACAGGAGAAGCTTCTGCAACGGTACTGGAGAGAGAAGTCCCTCAACAGCCCAGGGACCGGCCCCGGCAAGGTTGTGGTGGATGAGGGCAGGAAAGGGCACTTGGTGCACACTCACACACACCGCAAATGTCCAGTAAACCCGAAAAGGTGTCCCACTTCACTCAAAATGTGAAACAATGTTGTAACGCAGACCCCCTCCCCCCCCATACATTGTAAGTCGCAGAGCGTGAGACACTATCAACTAGGATTCAGATCCCTCTGCTGAAGTGAGAGACGGCTGGCCTGTGTCTCAAACACACCCCCAGGCCCTCCCCGTCGCCACATGACCCCAGCCCTCCCCAAGAGAGGCTCCTCCCACTCTGCTCACTGAAGGCCTCAGAGCCGGTGAGGACAGCAGGGCCCGGATGTCATAGGAGCCCCCGTGTGTCCCCCTGGCCCCCTCCTCCTGCCGTGAGCCAGAATGTCCCCTACAGGGGCTGGAGCCTCAGCCTGGGTCCCAGAACGGGGACACTGCACAGAGAACCCAGCGCTGTAGCTGAGCATTTACCAGGACGTGACATTAGCGAGAAAGAAACCTTCATTTTTTTAAGCACTGAATGTAGGGGTTCAGTGTTCGAAACCTGAACCAAAGGGAAGTCTAGATTTCCGTCAGCAGGGAATGCGCCAAATAAAGTACAGTGTATCCGTGTGATGGATATACTTTACCTCCGTTATAAAGCAGTACCGCTTTTCAGAACTTTTTTACATAATTGTATGTTACAGTATTTACCATTTGGCAACTTTCACACGTTTACTCATCCATTTCGTGCGCCCTCTGACCTTCTCCGTGTGAACGCACTGATCGCGGCCGCCCCGCCTCCCGCTAGTGGCTGGCTGTTGACAGCAGTCTCCGACGCGCCTCCTCGCGTGTGTGTGCAGGGGTGTGTGCAGGAGTATCTGCGAGGCGCCCCCACCCTGGAGCTGTCTGCCGAGGGGCACAAGCAGCGTCAAGTCTTCCTGCTGGGCAGACTCCAAACAACTGCGCACTCGCACGACGCTCGTTTGGCCCCATCTTCAGACGCTGCGCTCCGCTGCGAGGCACAGAGAAGATGGCGAGCACAGACCATGTGGCCAAAATATCTGTTAATTCTTTTCATGTTTATTTGTATTTTGAGAGAGGGAGACAGAGACAGAGGAAGAGCAGGGGAGGGCCAGAGCGAGAGGGGGACAGAATCTGAAGCAGGCAGAGTCTGAGCTGTCAGTACAGAGCCTGACGCAGGGCTCGAACCCAAGAACTGTGAGATCAGGGCCAGAGCCCGAGTTGGACGCTTAACTGATTGAGCCACCCACGCGTCCCGCAAAAGTATCTTTTAAATGTGCAGGAAGATAAATAACTTCAAGGTAACGGTTACCTCTGGGAAGGGAGCAGGCTGAGATCAGGGAAGGGTGCACATGTGCCCTCAAATCCATGTTTTATGTTTTATTTAAAAAAAAAAAACACTAAGGCAGTAGAGTTCAACCTTAAGATTTGCCAAAGCTGCCCATTTCTATGCAGGTGTTTTTGTTATTTGAACTTGTTTCAAATGTCTGCGTGTGTGTCAGTATGACCACATTTACACAGAGAATCATCTCAAGTCACTTTAGAGTCATGAGGTCACGTCTGGGAAGCGGGGATCAGAAGGGTATTTCACTCGTCACTTTATTCCTTTCTTTAGTGTTTGCATTTTTTTTAGCAACATGTATCAGTTCATGAATTAAGATCTGAGGGGGGATGAGTTTCTTATTGTACGGATGAGGTGAAAGACTTAAAAGTCTCCGACCCTGTGTAAAATATGGTTAGAAGCATCTACTTTGTAGAGCTGCTATGAGGATTATGAATTATTCATATTAAACCTCTTGCCGAGTGCCTTTACATAGTAGGCACTAAATAAATAATAATTGTTTACATTATTAATACAAATGTAGAATACGCTCTGTTTGCAAATTTGCTCACCCTGAAATGTGTAGGAAAAATAGATGTGGTTTCTTTATTTCTCAATAAGTGATCTGTTCTTCCACATGAGCTCCCCACGGGGCAAAATGGATCTTCGAGCCGGGAAACTTAGTTTGATTCAATCATTTAAGCCCACAGCCAGTGTTTAAATCCCTTTCGGTGAGTGCTGTCTCTTCAGATTTAAACACCTAGACTCTCAGATCGCTGCTGCCTCCCCGCCCTGGGGAGGTGGTGTCAGATTTAGCAAATAAAAATGCAGGACAGCAGTTGTGTTTATTTTTTTTTTTAATATTTTTATTTATTTCTAGGAGAGAGAGAGACAGCGTGCGCAGGGGAGGGTCAGAGAGAGAGGGAGTCACAGACTGAAACAGGCTCCAGGCTCTNAGGGTCAGAGAGAGAGGGAGTCACAGACTGAAACAGGCTCCAGGCTCTGAGCTGGCAGTCAGCACAGAGCCCGACGCGGGGCTCGAACCCACGAACCGCGAGATCGTGACCTAAGCGAAAGTCGGATGCTTAGCTGACTAAGCCACCCAGGCGCCCCAACAGTTGCCTTTAATTTCAGATAGACAACAAATAATTTTTTTTTTTTAGTGGTAAGCCCTAAATACTGCATGGGACATAGTTATACTGAAAAATAAAAAATACTATGTGTTTATCTGAAATGCACATGTAATTGAATACCCTGCATGTTGAGTGGGCAGTCCTGTCTGTGGGTGAATGGTGGAGGGGCATGTGGGGGAGAGGGACCAGGCCACAGGCCTCCCGGACTTTGGATGTGCACTGGACAGTGTCTGGGTCCAGTCCCTGGGCAGTGGACAGGCTCTGAGGTCCGTGGCCCACGCAACCCACAGGCTGTGTCTCAGCTCAGCCAGGGTCTGGGCTGTTCTCTGACTGAGCCAGCCCCATCTTGTCACTCGGTGGCACTGAGGACCCCTTTGTTTTTCTGGCACATCGTCTTTGGGCCCTGGCCTGGGACTGCCCTACGGCCACTGTTCTACAGCCTGAGTGTAGTGCAATCCGTGGCAGTTTCCGTGGCTCTCAATTGAGCCACTGGTCTGTGGCCCCAGAGAAGCACGCAGAAGTGAGGATGACCCCAGAAGCTGAACTCCAGCCCCGTCTCTCCAAACCACCCATGTCCTCCAGCTCAGATGTGGCCCATCTCTGTGAGCTCAGAGCGTCCCAGAGTCGCCGGCCGGAAGCAGAGGGCAGGAACCAACCCAGCAGCCACGTCCCCGTGATGGACCCATCTCTGCCACCTGCTCCCCGCCTTCCTCCTGCTTCCTCTCCCTGCCTTCACGGTCCCCAGCCCCCCAGGCTCCTTCCTGGACGCTCTGTGATCACCACTCAGCACTCACTCCGTGAGTGTGGAGTCAAGTTCCAGCCACATCCCGAGTACCATCCAGGTGCCAGAACTGACGGCAGTAAGGCAGCGTCTCGCTTTGCCCCTGGAAAGTCTAGAGGCTGCGCTCTGTGCAGTCGAACACAACGACAGTGAGCAAATACCGAAAATCTCTGCTATAAGGACCCAACTTTACCGAACGTGACACTGACCTCTGTAAAGGGGAAGGAGGCAGGGACAGGTAGGGGCTGGTGGCCTGGGCAGCGAGGGGTGCTCTTTCCCGCTGGGTGGTTGGAGAAGGCATTTGAGCAGAGACTTGAGTGAAGAAAAAAGCCGCACCAGCGTCCGAGGGCAGAGGAGATGGGAAGGGTCGCCCACCTCCTCGTGTACGGTCAGAATGAGAGCAAGAGGGTTTGGAAAGCCCCTGTGCCTTCTGCACTCTCTTCCTGCTCAAGAGAATAAGGACGTGACCACTGACCGAAGTCAAGGAGGTCCGGGGCCCTGGGTCCGGGCAGTGGGAAGCCACAAGCAGGCGTCGGTCAGGGGGACACGGAGACACAGGTGACTGTGTGTGCATCGAAGCCCTGCTAGGTTCCTAGGTGTTGACAAGCTGTTCCTAGAGGCCACGGGGTGGGGGTGGGGGGCGGGGGGCGGGGGCCTTCTCCCGGAGGAAGTCGTCCAAGACGGGCCTCTGGAGCCATTCTCCCCAACTCAGCACATGGCACATGATTCGTGTCGGCGCAGGGACCGTGGAGCAAGGAGGGTGAGGCAAGTTGGGCTGTAAAACGGCGTGTGTGTATTTCAGCGGCGTGAAAATGGGGAGTTTTCATCGGGCTCCTCGCTTGGAGCAAGGGCACCGAGGAAACAGACGGCCTGCAGCCCAGGCCTGGGTCCCCACGGGTGCCGGCTGGAGGGAGGGCCTGGGCCCCTCACGTTCCGACTGCACTAACAGAACCTCTTTCTGCTTCTTGCCTGGCTTCTCCTCCCACCTGCTTAGGTCCTGGAGTCCCCGCAGTGACCGTGCACAACACGACAGATAAGAAAAGTAAGTGCCTTTTGCTCTCTTCTGGAACCTTCCGGTGCCGTGGCAGAGAGGAAGCTGGAGCCTTGTGAGGGAGTCCAGCGCACTGGTTCCCATCCGGAGACCCAGAGATGGGGATGTGCTAGCAGTTCCGAGTGAGCCCCACAGTCGGCAGTATCGATCCCACGTGATGGACGGTCAGGGCCACCCGGACAGAAGGTGCCCCAGCCCCACGAGTGCTGAGGCCCGGAGGCCACGCAGGGTCCCGGGTGCGGCACTGAACAGAGGCCCCGGCCCCCAGCTCCACAGCCCGGCCCTCTCGACCCTCCCCTCCTCTGAGAACATCCACTTGGGGCCAAGGCTCCATGGGCGCTTTGAGGCTCTTCTGCCCTTGTGGGAGGGGGACACCTTCACGGCACGGAGGGGCTTCGGGTCCATGCCGCTGCAGGGACAAAGCTTTCCGGAGCCCCTTGAGCCCCCCGCCCAGCACATGTGTGCCTGAAGGAACCCCGTGCAGGCTGACATGCGCATGAAGTCATGCAGAGGGTCGGAGGTGATGCCCAGTCCTCGGTAGACCTGAGAATGCGGAAGCCGTGCTCTCGGTCCGTCCCCCCCTTGGCCTCACTCTGCCCTGTCCCCGGGGAGCCTCACGGCCTCCTTCCTCCCAGCGCCTCACTCCTTCCCACCGGGGTCCACCCGCCCCCGCGCTGGATCCTGCCTTTGAACGGGAAGTCAGACCTCAGGCCCCGGGAGCAGGCGTGACTCCGCACGTCCCGTGAACGTCCGGCAGCGGGTGTCAGTGACCCTGACTCCCGTCTCGGTGGTCGGGCTTCGGGCGGAGCTGGAAGGGGGACGTGGGGGGGAGGGGCCTCCCACAGGCTGTTTCGACACCAGCTACTAAGTGGTCACAGTGTTCAAAAGGTTCAATTAAAGAGACGGCATTTAGAGCATAATCCCAAATAATGAAAGTATTCCACAGAACTCACCAGATAATGACTAGAAATTCAAAATTAAAAAATAAAATCAGAAATAGATTTTTAAAATAACGTAAATGCAAAGGACAAAGTCAAAAAGAAGGACGTCGGGTGGATATAAAACCCGGTGAGAACACTTGCATGGCCCTCAAAGGGGAGAAGGTGGGGAGTGGGCTGCGTCGGCCTCGCCACGGCCTCGCCGAGGTTGGGGGGACGTAGTTCAGGGTGACGGGGTGCCCGGCCCCAGACCTCATCTCCAGCACAACTGGGGACCGTTCCTAGGAGCCTCTGAGGATTGGGGGTCTGGCCACGCGACCAGTAGGGACAGGGTGGGAGAGAGGGTTACCTGCGCTGCGCCCGCCGCCTCTTCGCGGCACAGGGGCTTGGAGGGCCGTGGGGAGGCCGCCCGGCGGGTCGGCCAGGACCCCACCACAAGGCAGGCGTCTGTGGGACGACAGACACGGCGCGGCACGCCAGCCGTCTCGCGTTCATGCTAGACTCTGCGTAGCTGTGGGTTTCACCGTGAAAGATGGAAGTATCTCACAAGGCTCCCGCTGGGGCATCCTCTTTTCTGAAGAAAACGTGTCTTATTCCCTTAAGAGTATTTGTTAAAACAAGAGGACACAGATAGCATCCCGATGTTCCATGAAGTTGTTCCCTTCTTACAAATCTCCAGTCTGGTGAGCACCGCGTGGGGTGCGCGGCCGGCGGCTCGCCCCAGCTTTGGCGCCTCCGCCCCCGACGCCGCGTCACGGAGGCCTTCCCTGCTGCGGGAGGCTGGGCACGAGCGCCTGGGGCTCGAGCCGCTATTTCTTTTATTATTTTAATGTTTATTTTTGAGAGAGAGACCGCATGAGCGGGGCCGGGGCAGAGAGAGACACAGAATGTGAAGCGGCTCCAGGCTCCGAGCTGTCAGCACAGAGCCCGACGCGGGGCTCGAACCCACGAACTGTGAGATCATGACCTGAGCCGAAGTCGGACGCTTGACCGACTGAGCCCCCAGGTGCCCCCAAAGGCTTATTTTAACGTAAAAACCTCGCGTGTCACTTGGGACTTGGCTGTGTAAGGGAGTACTCAGCCTGGCCGTCGCTTCTGCGGGACGGACACGCGGCTCTCTGTGTGTGTCCCCGTCGGCCGCACCAGCTCCACCGTCATGTCGCCCTCCCGCCTGCCCCGCCGTTTGTCCAGCTCGTCACTCCCGCCCCCGAGTGGCTTCATGATGCAAAATGGTCGGAAGACGCAGAGAGGACGAGGCGCGGAGGGGGTCCCAGGGACCGAGCCCGTCCCTTCAGGCCGGCTTCCTGCAGGGCCACCCCCACGCCCGCCCTTCTCTCAGCTTGGTCCCGCGTCCCGCTGGTGGCGGGGAATGCGGAGAAATGGCTTTTGTCCCGGCTCCTCGCGCCTCAGATAAAATCGGGGTCTCATTGCCGCGTGGTAACAGCTGCTGGAAGCGCCACCACCAAACTCTTCACGTGCAAGTGTCCTGGGGCTCCCATCCCGCGGCGCACGCGGGGCGCTGTATTCCATCCCGGCTCTGGAGGCTGCGAGTTCAAGTGCGAGGTGTCAGCAGGCTGGCTTTGTTGGGAGGCCGTAAGGGAGGGTCCGGTCCAGGTCTCCCCCAGATTCTGGTGGCTGCTGGCAATTACGGGTGTTTCTTGGCTTGTGTGACAGGCTGGCGTCCTCCTCGCCCAGCCTGGCCCTGTGTCCAAATGTCCCCTATTTATCAGGACACCAGTCGTATGTGATCAGGGCACCTGATGGCCTCATTGAAACTTGTTTCCTCTGCAAAGACCCTCACCCCAAATTAGGTGACCGTCGCAGGTAGGGGGGTTGGGACTTCAGCATCTTTGGGGGCACACAGTCCAACACACAACACAGAAAACAAGGGTTTATATTTCACCCACACGAAGTCCAGGAGGTGTGATCCTTGTCGCTCTCCCGGGAGGAACCTTCTAGACCGTGGCCCGTCATCCCCACCCCTGCTTCTGGCCACGTGGGTGGGAAGAAAGAAAAGGGGAGGCAGTTGTGGGTCGGGACACAAGACCTTGCACAGCCTGGCAGCGGCGCCACGTTCCCACCGGCCGGCACCCCTCACGGGGACCCGCCGAGGGGCGGGAGAAGCCCAGGAAGGAGGCAGGGAGGTCGATGGCGCCCGCAGTCACCGTCACGGTCGGGATGGAGGAGCATGGGTCTCGGATGCGGCCGGAGACCTTCGGCCGTCCTCGAGAGGAGTGACTGAGTGCAGAAATACTGGCGGTTTTTGTATAGATCACTGTGCCTGCGCAGGCTCGTCAGGTACTTCCCAGAAGCCTCCCACGGAGGAGCCCTCTGAGCCCCCAGGCTGGGACAGTGCTGGAGGGTCCCTGTCCCCGCACTCGCCAGGGGGAGCTGTCTGTGGCGTGAGCACCGCCTGGGGACGCAGGGACGCAGGAGGAGAGCACAGAGCCAGCGGGGGAGCCCCGGACAGATGCGTGGTGTGGGGGTGCGGGGCTGGGGACCTGCTCCTACGCGCAGTGAGCCCCGAGCCTGTGAGGGCGCAGAAGACAGAAGGCGTAACAACAGACCTAACAGAGAGGCACCTGTTGGTCGGTGCCTGGGGTGAGCAGGGAGCGAATCCTCGGGTCTTTGCCGGACCCAGAGTCAAGGCCTGAGAGATCCGAAGGCAGACGCGAGCCTTGGATGAAGGCGCAGAGATTTGCGGACTTTCAGGTTTGGTAAGGATTTGAGATTTCGGTTATTTTTGCGATCCTCTTTAAAAAAAAAAAAAAGGTTGTCCTCATTTCCCCAACTCTGCCGTAGGAATTCCCAGAGAGGAAGCGGCCCCCGTCCGGGGAGGTAGGAGGGATGAAGGCCGAGTGCCGGTTGGTTTAACTCCCTGGGCGTCGGGGGCCGTGCATATGGGGCTCATCACAGAGAAGAACGGAAAGCCGTGTCGTTCTGGGAATCCCAGACTTGGGAGTTAAGAAGGGTGTTCGACAACAGCTAATCGAACTTCTTCATTTCCGAGGCTGGAAGTCGGAAACCCTGACAGGTGCGGGCCTGGGTCCAGGCCACGGTGCTCCGGGGAGGGGTCTTCCTCACTTCCTCACGCCCGGTGTGGACGGCATGTTGGTCCCACCCACTCGGCAACCTCACACGTCCCTCCAGGCTCCCTTGGTCTGGGAATAGCGGCAATAATCTCCGTCCCCCGTGTCCTCAGCAGACACCAGCCCCACGGCCTCCGTGGTCTGGTGTGAACGCGGTGCCCAAGGGCTGCGGCGGTCACAGGTACAGTCACATCGCGCACCACGTGGCTCTTTTCCTCGCTTCTCACCAATAACCCGTGAGGAGGGCGGCTGGCTCCATTTCACAGATGACAAAACTGAGATCCGTACGGCAGGAATCCCAAGAGCTAACACGTTATTTCTTCTGGAATTCTGACTGTCCAAGAGCAAGTGATCTGAATTCTTCGAGGAGACGGTGGGAAGTGGGTTTAAAAAGAGAGAAAAGAAGGAAGAAAGGAAGGGGACCAGAAGTCACAGTGAATCCTCTAGTCTGCTCAGAGCTTTTAAAGGTGAGGTAAAAGGTCCCAGTTTCTCAGCGCGCTCAGTCTGTCGGAGACATCGACGGCAAGCCCGTTGGGTGCCAGCCACCAGCATGGGGCCCAGGCAGATGATGTGACTTGAAAGTAAGTACCAGAGCAGGCGACCCTCCGCCCCCGCTCGCCCTGTCCCGTCGCAGAGGGTCACACCGCAGACCAGCCTGGCCCTCCTGGATGGAAAGGACCAGAAGCTGCAGGTCCGGTCGCATGTCAGACCCCAGCCTGGAGTCCAGCCTCGGGCATTGTCAGCGGGATGTGTGGGAGGCTTTTTTCTGTGCGTGTGGCTTTCGACGCGTCCTTGACAGAGCTTCCCGCCCCAGCTCGTCCCCAGCTGCGTCACCGGCACAGAACAGAGTGCTCTCAGTGTCTGTGACACTGGGTGGGTCCCTCTCCGTTGAGGAGCCCGTGGGGGGCTGAGGCGCTCCCTGGAGTGGGCGGCTGTCACGGCTGTGGGTCCACGCGTGCGAGGC